AAAAAAAAAAAAAAAAAACATAAAACTTGTCCTGCAAACCACCCGAAACTTCTTAAATGACCTGAAGTGTCTTCAGGCTATTTCAGCAGTTTCTGACCACTTCATAATCTTTCATTCTGAAATTTCAGGTGGTCGTTAACCGCGAGTGGATGTATAGGCAGCATCATGTATGCATATCGAAAAGAGAACGAGGTAAGTTGGACAAGGATCCCCCTAAGGTCCGAACCAAGCTCAAACTCGTGACCTTGTAACTCCACCATGTGAATGACTAGCGGAAATGGTAGGAACGTGTGATATGCCAGACTGGGGAGATCAACAGAACACCCAAGACCAACACCCCCAAGCAACCCATGTGAAACCCAAAACGAACATACAACACCATGAACAACCCTTGGGAGGTGTGCAGGCAGTGTATGTAATAGTATGTCCAGCCGTGCGTCAATCTAACGCCCTGCGGGTGTCCATGCGCAAGGTTGCAATTGAGTTTTGAACCCACAACCTCATACCACAATGCACATTTCGAACCGGTGCTCGAACCACTAAGCCACATCAACTGGACTATGCGTGTTATCGAAGGGCCCCCTGAGGGTACATTCTTCACACATACTTGTAATAATAATAATAATAATTATAATAATAATAATCATAATATTTATAATAATAATAATAATAAAAATCATAATAATCATAATAATAATAATAATAATAATAATAAGGGCGTGTCAGGCCCTTTGAGGTTTCTACTGGCTGGCATAATGCTTTTGTTTACACGGACGGGGCTCCGGACTCATGGTTGGAACATGATAATCCGGCTGTTCCTCATCCTTTCTTGAACGATGCACTTGCCTTGGGCACTGGACCCTGATAATTAACGTTTCTTTTTCGGGGGGGGGGGGGGAAAGTGACGGTCAATTTCCACACATATGCACGATGATAATGATATTGACTGTGTGTGTGAGTGTGTGTGCGTGTGTGTGTGAAACCGACAGTCTATACAGTGTTGCATCTAATGAGGGGGAGTGATTCTCATCGCCGCTGCATTGAGGGCAGTGGTTGGTGCCCACCTCAGGGTATCAGTCTGCTTATGGGGCTCGTTCGACACTCCTTGGGGCGTCCTCGGGGCTGAAGGAAGTTTCCTTGGGGGGTTTCAAGGAAATTCCCACCATCGTTCCACCTGTCCTCGGGCCTCGACCCACTAGCATCGCGTAAAACGGTGTGTGGCGGTCGTTTCTTTAAAAAAAAACATATAAAGAATCCTTTTATTTATTTTCATAAATGCAAAGAAAACAAGGCCAACGCTATGCATCCACACTTCCACCAACTCGGTACATCTGCATGCGACCTTCTCGTCGGCCTGTTCGCAGTCTTCCACGGAAATCTCAATATTCTCAATTTCTGTGAAAAAAAATAGCGAGGCACGAAGCTTCAAAAACACCCTCCCCCTTAAAAAAACCATAGGGCCTCGTTAGACCCTCCTTGAAAAATCCTCTGGAATTAGGACGAAGTCCTTGGAAAATTTCAAGGAATTCGGCGGCGTTGTTACACCGCGTCCTAAACGAAAGGGTCCCAAGGAAAAACCTTGGAGGTATCCCGCGGCCAATTTCATACGCATATGCGAGGCCGCGGGAGAGGATGTCCGTCGACGTCGAGGGATGTCCGTCCGTTGTCGGGCGTGGTCCACTGGCGGCGCAAGGAGGCCTGCGATGCTGCGCTGCGAAAAGAGGCACGAAGGTTCCTTTTCGAAATTCGAATTTCAAACCGTCAGCCGCGGTAAAGGCGCGCCGTGGCGTCACCACCCCTGGAGATACCACTGTGCGAAACGTGTGCGCGAACGATTTGCAGCGCCCATCGCTGTTGGCGACTCGTTAATCCGATCGTCAGTCGGCGAGGCGCGAAAGGTGACGACGTTGGAACGCGTGAAGTGGTGTGTATCCCGCCTTCGTCTTCCTGCAGACGACGACGATCTGGTGGCTCGCCATAGCTTCACGCGCCCGTCATTCGTGTACGAGGAGCTGCCCTCGACCGCTCGAACGTCCGCTGGGACAGTGTGTGACGAGGGTCCAGTCGTCCGTCTGTTGTGCTTGTTGAACAAGGCGCCGTCGGGGCATCGTGATGGAACACGTGTCGCAGCAGGTTCGTGGCAAGACCTTGAGCAGGGTGGAGAGAAATGCGGTGATTGCAGCAGTGTCGGCGGTGGCCATGTGATGTCGCATCGAGAGAACGACGACGCGTTCGAGGACGAGAGTGTCTATCCGCAGGCAGCGTGAGCTCCTCCACCACGTGATGGCGGCGCCAGACTGCGTGTCCATGTCCGAATCCATTACCCAGTTCTGCGCCGCCATGTCATCATGAACACCCTGGGGGTCATCCTCAACTTTTCCTTGTAATATAGCGGCAGGTGACATTCTACAGGGTTCCTTTGCAGCCGGATCACATCATCGCATATGCGTTGTACCGATGGGCGAGCGGTGAGACGTACGAGAGCAGCATGTCGTCATTCGGAATAGGGCGCGCATCCGGGTTGATCGCAGTGGAGGACGTTACGAGGGCACTCCTGAGGGTGTACAGTGACAAAATCGTATGGCCTACTGGGATGCGTCGTACGCTCATTCTGCGTGCCTTCGAGGCGAAGGGCTTTCCCAACTGCTATGGCTGCATAGACTGCACGCACGTTTACGTCGACAAACCGGCGAACGCTCCTTCGGAGAACTACTTCGACCGGAAGCATCGTTTCTCCGTTGTAGCGCAGGTGGTGGTGGACCTGGACTTGCGCATCACGGACGTTTTCGTCGGTTACCCAGGGAGTTGCCATGACATTCGGGTGCTTCAGCTCTCCAGTCTGTGGGCGCGTGCGGACGAGGGGAATGTTTTCCGTGGAGCTCCTGTTGTGCTGCCGTTCGGAGTGACGACACACGGTTACATTCTAGGCGACAACGGGTATCCGCCGCTGGAGTGGATTGTCGTGCCGTACGGGGGGACCGATCAAATCCCCGACGAGGAGAGGTTCGACAACAAGCCAAAGGTCGCCAGGGGAGCAGTGGAGAGAGCTTTCGGGAGATTGAAAGGGTTGTGGAGGCCGTTCCTCCGCACACACAAGACGAATATGGACACTCTCCCACAAAAGTTCCAAGCCGTGTGCATTCTGCACAACATCCTCCTTGACGCTGGCATGGAGTTCGACAACAACTTGCTGTGGGAGGTCGATGCTAATGGCGTGCGGCGGCGAGTGGACTTGGGGTTGGATCATCCACCCCACCCCATTGCTGAGAACTTCAATCGGCCCCGTGCGTTGGCGCTACGGAGGCACTGGCGGAGCGGATGAAACACGTGTGAAGGCGAGCACCGCGTCGTCGGCACGTGGCTCTGCCGTCCTTGTGGAGGTAGTTCTGTGTTGTGTCCAACGGAGGCATTCTGTGTTATTTTGTTGTTGCAGGCGTGTGCCGTGCCCTGGGGTGTTGTGTACGTTCAGTGCGGGTCGTCATTGATCGGTAGTGTCGCGGAGCCGTCGTCGGAGACGCTGTTCATCCGCAGTTCTTTTCCTTTTTTTTTTTTTTTGTTAAACATTTTGTAGTAGGTTCTTGGCGCCTGGTGATGCGGTTTGTTGTGAGTGAGTGTGCGCAGCTGCGCGATTTCGTTTTCGAAGAAGACGGTGTCTGTCGACGAGGTGATCGGTCCGGAGGTGACTCGTTTTTGTTCTCCTTTTTTCAAATGTGTACTTTGGAGTGGAGTTCCGGCTGCGTGTGTGCGTCTATCGGTGCTGTGTGAAAATGCGGTGATTTCGTGTATGTGATTGCAATCGAAATGTCTTTTTTTCCTCTTTCGCTTTTTTTCGTTTCATTGTTTTTTTTTTTT